TTCCAACCCAGTGATTCTGTGATTCTGTGACTTGTTCCAGAAGAGGAGTAGTGAACAAGTGGAGATGGCTTCAGTCACTTTTTATGGTCTCTGGTTTTGCTCTAGGTCTGCTCCAGCTCCTACCCAAGGTCCCACCAGTTCTGGGGCTGCAGGGCCACCTCCTGCTACCAATGTGTCAAGCAACAAACGGCTGCAGCAGACACAAGCCCGGGTGGATGAGGTAAGTGGCTCTAGGTGATTTGTTGCTCACCACAAGGGTGCTGATGTGGTTATTTTTTTTTTCTTTAGGATGCTTTCCTCTCTAGTGATCTAGTACCTCCTAGTCATCTGAAGGCAGTGGGTCTAAGAAATGAGGTTTACCAAAGGATGGCATTTATAAGGAGGCAGACAGTACAAGAGAGATTCTGAGTATGAACATCCTTGTACCAGTAACACTTCTGCGGAATAAATGTGGACATCGATGCCAATTCAGGAATTCATCCCAGTCAGCCAGGTTAGGAGGAAATGTTACAGTGGAACCTGCGTTCCTAAAGGTTAGATGCTAATCTCACAGGCTGTTTCACAGGGACAGACTATCGTCTTCTCATAGATAGATTCAAGCCATGAAAACTGTACAAGTCAGGGCTCTGTTCATTAGCTAGACCTCTATTGATTAATCATCACAATTTATCCCCAAAGAAAGGCACCCATGCATGATGTTATAACAGCATCTGTGACAAATCTCCACTCCTTTTGTTGGTCTTGGAGGACCACGTGCCTGTTTGAGCTTGGATCCTTAAATTGTTGTAGCCTGCAGACTATCCTGCAGCCTCGGCTGTAATGCCAGTGTCCATCTAACTGCTGTGATAATGGGAATAAGTGAGCATACCACTGCTCATGGGTGTAGTCCCTCAGCATAGTAGCAGCTGTAGCATCCTTCCACACCTGCTGTGCAGATTTGTGTGCTGGGTATTAAGCACAGAGTTTTGCTAACCCCCTACAAAGACGTAAGTAACTTGCTTACTATCCATGGGGAAGAGGCCAGGGCTTATGTGATTCTTTAATGCCAATTCAATGAAATACACATTAGAAAATAGCTATTTACATGCATAAAGACCTCTATTTTCAAAAGCTCCAAGTAAGTTTTAAAAATAATAGAGAAGAGCTCACAACATCCAACTCAAATGCATTTCTTAAGATAATTCAATACACCTGTCAAATTGAGGTTTGTCTTTCTGAGAACTTTTTCTTTGCTGAATATCTGAAGCAGGGTCTTTCTGGCCTCCCCATCGCTGATGCTTGGAGCTTGTCACAAGAACATCCTCTGGCTGCAGAAATGTCTGCAGAAATTTCTAGGCCTGGTTCCCTCATTATCAGATTTTCACGTCACACTAACTTCATTGACGTTAGTGAAATGACTCTTGCAGTGAGGAAAGGAATATTACATTTCAGCTTTTGTCTTGGGTCAGAATAATGAAATAAACTTCTTTTCCTGAACAGATTACATCATGATGGTGCTGTAATTGTTTATGTGAGGTACAGCAAAAGTAATTGTCCCTAGAAGATGAAAAATAATTGCTAGTTATTGCCTAAAATGAGTGATGCAGGTCAGATACATAGGGCTTTTCAAATAGATCAAGGGAGGTGGATCCAGTGAGGCTAGTGAACTCCTGCTTTGTGTTTAAGATACTCTGTATTCTGAGACTTTTCACTCAACCCCATGCAAGTTTGTTGTCTTGTGAAGCATGATAGCCTCATTTTGGCAGGAACTCTTACCCAATATGAGAGGACAGTGAGTAGCTCTTGGATTTCAGGATTATGTGGGTGATAATAAGGATCCATGTTTTTTTCGCGCCCCGTTTGAGAGGGAGGCTGAGGTTGGTATGGGTTTTGAGTGGATAGCACATGGTCAGCAGATCCTTGTTTAATAGGAAAATCACAGTATAAGAATAAGCAAGGGAGAAAAACGCCACTAGTCTTTCAGTACTGTGAAGTCACCACGATGAAACTGGTTTATAGCACGTAAAGATCTGATCTGTTAAGTATTGCTTTGTCCTTCCTACTAGATCTTTCCTGGTTGTTTTTCTTTCATCTCTTGTGGGAAAGTAATCTGTAGGTGGCACCAAACACCACAGCACAGCAGTATGCTCCTCTGGCTCTTCTGCTCCAAGTGCTGTTCTGCACAGCATTACAGGCGCAAACCCAGAACTCAGCAACACGATCATGAGTTTGCTTAAGAGAAAATTTTTGGTCTGAGTAAAATGACTGACATTTTTAATGCTATATCAATGCTGATACAGTATTTCAGCTATATCCATGTTGGGTTTTCCCCTCTGAATTCTCTAGGCATCTTAGAGCTTATTTTCTAAGGCTCAGATCTTGGTTTTAGTCTAGACAAACACTTATTTATTTATTTGACAAAAATGCAGTCTTGTCCTGACAAGTGTTCGCTGCATCTAGGTTAAATTCAATAAATAGTTCTGGGCAAAATAAGGGAGAGAATGGGTAGGAAATGTTACAGCATTTTTTTTTTCCAGTATTTTCAAATAATTTAAAATTTTCACTACGAAACATTGTACCATGACAAAATTCAGCTAAATACTAGCTGAGAAATGAAAACAAAACTTCTTTTTTTTTTTTTTAATTTGATCTGAAGTTAAATGCTTGGAAGGTTTTGGTTTGGAAAAGCAAGTAAGAAAATTTGGGTTGACCAAAACATTTGATTTTGTTTTACGTTTGGTAGAGAAGTGAAACAAATCTTTGAGTTTTGGAACAGCATTTAACCCTATGCCAGTCATTTCAAAGATTCTTTTACTACTAGTTTAATCTCACTGTATTTAAATAATGTATTTTTTTAATAACTCTCTGTTTTTGCAGGTAATAGTTAAATTATATTAAATACAAACAACATGGACTTCCTTATTACAGAGTATGAGAAGTAACAGACCAGCAACCATATTCACTGCTAGAATAGTGGACACAACTTGACTGAGACTGGTATAATGTCTAATGTTTACATTAGTGATGAATTTGTACAGGATTTCTATTTAGAGTTATTGGCTTCCTAGAAGAGGATTTTCGTCTAACTCAGTGTATAAAATACATGCATGAATGGGCCTTACCTATTGTGTACTGGCTGTGCACACTTTTTTCGCTGAGGCTGTGCAATGAGGTAGCATGAGTTCCCTGCTACACTTCAGGCTGAATTTTCTCAGGTAAAATTTTCTCCTCTTCTGCTTTCAAGCAGGACTTCAAATTGTGGCTAGGAGGGCATCTTGTCTGAGAAGGATCTGCAGAATGAGTAAATTCCTTGGTCAGGAAATGCATACAGTTTCCTTTAGAGTGGCCTTTATCTAGCCAATTTATCTAGTTCAGGTAAGGAAATTGTATTAAATGTATAAGGAAAATAATGGTTTGGTCTTAGTGATGACTGGACAAATGTCAATCAAATTGTAGTAGCGGTACTGGGCTCCGTGAGTTTTTTGTATCTATAGTGATGTAGCTAGTTGTAGGCTAAAAGAAATCAAAAGCTTTAATACAATGAATTACAGTATTTCATAATATCCCTTTATTTTTTACCTTTAAGGGCATGTAAGCACAGTTGAGCTATGATCATCTTGTTCTCAATGTGTCTGTTTCCATAGGCATGGATTTTGAGGCACTGCCCAGGTAATTGCCCTCACATACCATAATGGCGAATAGCTGGTTTCAGTATGACACATGATATTCCAGAGTGTGAATGTATGGGTGACCTTCGGCTTTAGTGTGTGTGGAATCTAATGTGAGGCTCTGTCTTTGCAGGTGGTAGACATCATGAGAATGAATGTGGACAAGGTGCTAGAAAGAGACCAGAAGCTATCAGAGCTTGACAACCGGGCAGATGCATTGCAAGCAGGTGCCTCACAGTTTGAAACTAGTGCAGCCAAACTGAAGAGAAAATACTGGTGGAAAAATTGCAAGGTAAGGAATATAAATTCTTATTAAGAATCACTTCATGACAGCCATTACTTTCACTTGCATTTACTGGGACTTTGCTTGCAGGATGGCATCTCTAAGTGGTCTTTCCTTGTCAAGGGGAGAAAGAGATGCCTTGCTCTCTAGGGTCCAGAATAATAAGTCAAGCAACTTTGATCTTTACCAGAACCTATTCTTTAGATAATTTCTGCAATATATAAAATGTAGATACAAATTTTGATGCTTCAGTCAGTGCCTGCAGGTAGGGATGGGAGAACATTCCATGTTAATTCATGTGAGTTCCCTGCGTGAACCACAAAATCTGAACGTGTGTAGTGAATTCTAGTAGTGGGAGAAAAGAAGCTTTTTCCTTGTGGGAGATCATCAGCCTCTTGATCTTTCCTTAGGAAGGTAAACTACCAAAAAAATACCTGGTTCGACAAACTGCTGTGAGAGGTGAGGAAATAACAGTCTCTTTTAAAGAGGGGCAGACTGGGATAGAGCAGGACTTTAATCAACCAGCTCGCTCCCCTGCTGTCTTCAAAGTCTCATCCTTTCCCACGAGCAGAGGCAACCTCGGTCTCCTTTGCTTTTTAGACATCCTCCAGGATTTGTGTTTTCTGGACCCAGAAACGTCAGCTGCTTTTATTCATATAAGACCCCATATCCTTGGTTCTTTCTACTCATGCATCATCAACACATGAACACTGTGCCAAAAGTTCAACTTCATTTCCATTTCTTTTCAATGCCATCTTGGCTGCCAATCATTCATGTCCACCCAAATAAAACCACCTGTTCCCAAGGGAGAATCCCACACATATCTCTTACCAGTCTGTTGCCTGCTTTGTCTTTTCAATCCACAGTGCTATGAAATATAAAGCAAGGCAAAATATTCTGGGTAAACTACAGGCACAAACACTCCAGAAATAAGTGGATCTAGGTTAGAAATTCAACTGAGCAGTTCCTCTGGGCCTCTTCTAGCTGTTGCCCCGTTGCTTTGCCTAATGGTGCAGGAAGCAGGGCTTTTGGGAGCTACAGACATAGATTTTTGAGTCAGGTTCACCCATGCTGACTGCAGTCACCACAGTGACCTACACTACACTAGACCTTCAAACCTACTCACATTCTCCTTTCCTTTTCAACTTTGTGATGAGCTATTTCCAGGCTAGCATGCTGGAAACCGTGCTGGCTAGGCATGGGCTACCTCTCTCAACAGCACAAGTACAAAAAGCCAGCACAAATAGCTGCTAGGCATTAGACAGCTGTCTCTTCCCTGATTATGGGAACGTGGTAAAAAGTGATCACAATATGCTGGTATAAAGTGGTCTGTGCCCATGTGTGAATCCAGCCACATAAGTCACCTCTGGAGTTGTTTTATTTTGGAATTTCACTTTTTCTTTACTTTACTGCTGGAAACGGACGAGGTTGGTCACTGCATGTTAGCTGGTGGGCAAGAACTTGCTAACTTTGTCAAGAGGCTATGTCCATTGCTGATGTTCAGCTGTTCTTAAAATTGACACTAAATTTGGGGCCTTAACAAGTCTGTTGCAGTGAGTCTTTGCAAGAATTAAAAGTGCAAGGAATGAGCCACTAAGTAAACGCAAAAAAACTGAGGGGTTAATGGCTTTCATGTGAAAACCTGACATTCTCTTTTTTTTTTTTTCTCATAACTTTCTTTTTACAGATGATGATCATCCTTGGTATAGTATGCGCAGTCATTCTCATTATAATTATAAGTGAGTAATTAATTTTCTCTTCTGTTTATGATCTCAATAGCTCTGTTACTTACAAAGTGCTGATATATTAAAAAACAAAACTAAACAAAAAATGGATATAAAATATTTAAACTGATTCATTTGTGAAATTCCCCTTCTAGTGTCATGCTGTTATAGTGAGAATTACTGCAAACTCTCTGGACCCTTATATAGATAGAATTTGTGGACATTTAATGTATTTTACACTAGCATGTTACATAACTTTCCCTAGGATTAAAGACTCTCCCTTTTCATATTTATATACATTTTTAAGCAGCCTCAGACATCTTCCTTTCATTACAACCAGTCCTGGTATTTTCTATTGTGAACAGTAATGTTTGAATTACCTCATGCCTATAAAAGAAGGTGAAGGCGCATAGGCAAATGAATTTTTTAAAAGCATGTAGGTGCCTAGTTCCCACCAAATCAGCTGGAATTTGAGATGGTGGTGCTTCTGAAAATCCCTTTTCATCTCAAATACCTAAATATTGTTAAAAGATGGCGCAAAGTCTTACTGATTTCTTGTCTCGAAAGATCATCTCATTCTACACATTTGTTATAGGAAAGATAGCATATAAATGAATAATAGCAGTCATGCTGGTTGGGAGCCAGGGATCTTGTAATGACAGGAACTGAACATTTTATTTATGTAACCTCTGTGTTAGCAACCGCCATTATGTTACATAATTGTAATATGGCATTAACTTCCAAAAGGGAGATTTCTTGAGTCAGACAATCCAGCTAGTAACCCAGAAGAGATTCACCAGGAGGCTAGGCTGTGGATGTGAATTAATTCCCAGCTATCAAATTACATGCCTTATATTCGGCATGTTTCCATTTTCCTCTGTTGCTTCTCTCAAGAAGGCTTACAGAATCACCTGTAAACATGACTGAATGGATTAAGATACATGTGGCAATTTATTAGTCTTATGAATGCTGGCACCAGAGTGACCCAGAATAATTCTAGGGTTTCGTAACACTGATACAGCAAGAATGGGAAATGGCTAGATATTAATTAACTATATTAACTGGGTACTCAAGGCAAATGGCTTCAAGGGAAAGACAGGCCTTTGTTCTGCAGTCTAGTGCAGCAACCTGGGAAGACAGATGTGCAGCCGTTGAATTGATTGCTGTGTATATATGCATCACTTTGCATTATGTGTATTTTAACAAAGTAAAAAGCAGACATGATAGCCCATAATTTCTCCTTAGAAGTTAAGCCTGACATTATATACAAGTAATAACATTGTTTCTCTCCTGGTTTTAAGTGTTGGATGCCTGTCCTGATAAGTTTAGGAACAGAAATAGCAGGTTTGACATGGCTTAGGTTGGGTTTAGGATATTTAATCACAAACTTGAGTGTCACATCATCAAACCCAGGTCATGGTACGCCATAGTGAGATCAAGTGCAAGTTTGGTGAGATTTAAATGTATTTAAGCTCTGGATCTTAAATTATTTTTTCAGTCTGTTTGACCCTTCTGTAATAGTGCCTAAAGATTGCAGCTTCAGGAGGGACACTGTGTGTTGAACTCGGTGATGTATTTCTTTACAGTAGCTCTCAAGTATATGTTTAAATCCTGTTGACATCAAGTGTCCAAGTGCTGCCACAGACAAGGCCTGCATGGCTTCTCTAGTCACTGATTTGAACGGGAGCAAGATCATACCCTCCATGCAGGGCTGGCTATAGATGCAGATAAATTTGATAGTTCCTCAGAGCAACAAGCTACCATGGGTGGTAGCTTGGCCCATGCCAGGCTTCCTACCAACCTAGTAATGGGGCCCTGGAGAAGCAGGCTGGCTCCCTGCTGAAGGAAGAGTTACAACATGTGGGTCTGCAGGTGTTGCTGGAGCTGAGGATGGCAGCTAACATCACCATCAGTCCTTGCCCTTTCTATCTTTCAAGCCGCAGCCTCCCCTGGTTTCCACTCCAGTTCCCCCTCCTTTTGACAAGGGAGGAGCAGCCCTGTTCCAGTCAGGAAGGCATACGGTGTGCAAGACATGCCGTGCTTTTTCAGCAAAGATGTGCTAAAGGTGTTTGCCTCTGACAGCACACAATTCTGTGAGATAAAGCGCAATAACTGCTGGTTTATGTCTTTTTTTTTTTCCCTTGTGCTTCCTTTCCCAGTTTATTTCTCCACTTGAAAAAGCGAAGAAGGAAGACTTGGCACAACTTTGTTCATATCAACCAATGATATCAGTGTTCCTTTGTTGAACTCCGCTTTTTAATTCCTGGTGTCTTGGGATTTTTGCTTGTAATAACCCATAAGCATTCAGTGTGGTGTGTTTTGGAATTCTGTTGTTTCCACAAGAAACTGTACCAGCTAAATACTGCCAAGTAGTTCCATACACTGTCTTATCACTGTGTCTTAAAATGTGTACACACTGACCTTCAGAAACTGTAGTATAGGAAAAGCATCCTAAACATCTCAGAATCAGAGAATGCAACTATGGGGAAGCTGCTGCTTAAAGAGACACTGTCAGGTGGATTGGACCCAAACCTAAGGTTGAGGCAAACATTAGGGCCAAAATTCTCAATCTCAGCACCTAAAGTTGGATGGCAAAATCCACTATCAGATGTAACTTTTTGAGGTAGTGAGTATCTGCTACTCCCATGGAAGGGAGTGGTACCTACAAGTACTCACGTAAGACATCTCATTTCAACTGAGCCAAACACAGATTTTTTGAGATTAGTTGTAGTATCCAAGTCTAAAAATATTGCCTGCAGAAAATAAATAGGACTGGATTATCATCTTCTGTGGATTTTAATTTTTCCTTATGGGGTGTTCTGTACAACCAGGATGGCCTCAATATGAAAGCAATGAAGAAAACTGTATGACAACAAAAAGACCCAGACCAGCTTGTTGCTAGATAGCTAGCACAGTCTTGAAAAAGCCCAATGAAATGCAAAAATGGTAATATAAGTATCATAAATAACCAAGATACAGACTCTTGCTAAAAACTTAAGGCAGTTTGTCAGACTTCGTGGGACTCTCTTGAATGCCAGTCCCCAAAACTTATGGCCCTAACTTAAAGCACATGAACAACTTTGGTGATGTCTGTGGCTTCCCAGCACAATTGTAGGAAGCTACCTTTGCACCATTTTACAGAAATGGTCCCCACTGTGAGGACTGTTCAAAAATCAGGAAGAAAAAGGTATGGATAAATAAAGGGAACAGTGGAGAGAGGCCAAGAAAAGGAAGGGTGCCTAGAAAAGCTTTCCTGGAGAATAGGAAGGCAGAGAAACACTGTTCCAAAGTGGTGGTGTTAATAGGCTTTTTAAAAATTTAATTTGTGTGTGTGTATAGTTCATGAACTATAGTGTCTTCTTTGTAAAGTGCTCAGCTGAGATATTTTTCATATTCAATTAGTTTAACATTTGATGTAATTAAGAGAAATTATATATTATGGTTTGAGAGAAAGTTCTTGTATGCTATGATTGTAGGGTTTTTCTCCCAAATGTTGGATTCCTTTTAATTTTTTAAACACTGAAGAGTTCAATCATAGTTAACCAAAGTAAAAATGAATTATTAAATTTTGAGCCAGGAAATTCTGAAAGGCTTTTTTTAGAATAACTCCTTCAGAATTTCTAAGATAAATGCGTAGAATTAAAAAAAAAAAAAATTGGTTGGTTTGTTGTTTTTTGTCCGCAATTTAATTAGGACATAGACATGGTGATAATAGTAGTGTAAATATTCCCACTCTTGACATGATCTTAGATTAAAAAAACAGAGACCCAGACCAGCTTGTTGGAGTGGATATATACACAAATTCTGCTTAAGTAGAATTTTGCAGAGAGAAAAAGCAATGATAGTTGAAAGGTTCAAGTTGCATTTTTTTCTGTATATATTTATTACTTAATATTCACATGTTTCATATCATTAAGTAGTAGGTGGCCACAGTCTCAATGAAAATTAACTTTCAAAGTTACTAATGTGCTACTGGGCTTCTTGGTATGCCCTGTTCACTTCAGTCCTTCAGCGGAGCGAGTACGTAAACAATTCTAAAACCCTTATGGGCCAGACAGAAAACTCTGCTGTTGTTAAGGGCCTGAATCCCTGAGGTGTCACAGCTGAATGCTATGTATAACTGAACCTTTGCTGGAAAAGGAATAAGCTGTCCAACTTCAGGACCCTTTTTAAACTACTAAGATATTTGGCTAGCTGATAGGAAAGAATTACCTCCTGAAACCCCTACCTATGTTGAGAATGGCTTGATCCACACAGAGCTTCTCTACAGGAATGCTGAAAAGACTCATGAGATGAAGACAACTTTCACTGGAGATGGTACAATCAGTGAGATTATACGCTGATACATATCCCTAATGTAGATGGTGCCTTCTCCTATGAGAGTCTGAAATGGCTACTTAGCGGATACGGCTGCAAATACACATGAAAGAGTTTGGATCCTCTAGGTAGAAAGATGCAAGGTTTCACAATGAAACTGTAATGAAACTGCTCTAAGGATGCAAAGCTTACATCCTCCTAGCTAATGTATCTCAAGCAACTTAATGAAGTGGGGGCTTTAGGGAGGCTGGAGAAGAGGAACTGCTGGTTGTGGAATGTGTACTCATTCTCCCTCAAAACAGTAACTAATGGGGATGACTGCTAAACGTTGGTCAGAATTTGCAAGGAAGAGTTTAGTCAAGAAACCTAGCCTCTAGTGGGTTGTAAAATGTTTGTGAAGAGACAATTTTCTCCTGTGTGCTAATGAAATACTCTGAATTAATGTGTTTATCTCTTTTAAGTTGTTTGCATATAGTGTGCTCATGAATGCTCAATGTTTACTAGTTGTGCTGTACTGGTTGGTTGCAATCAGTAAGATAAGACATGTAACATTTCTAATTCAGCCCAGGAAGCATGAACAAGTATGTCCTTCCCTGATGTACACACCCAGAGTTGAACTGCTCCTGCAGAGGGTTAATTCTTCTGCAAGGAGAATATGGTAATATAGGACTGTTCAGGGTCATAGATTGTGCAACACCATCACATATATGTAGACTGGTACAGAGGACAATCTATATAAACACAGTTGGAGATCTTATTTGTGTTGAAGCCAGGTTTGATTGCTTTCCACTCACTGCCTCTACATTTAAAATGTCCATGCATAGTTACAACTGCCTACTTGTAAATTTCCCATGAAAAGTTTAACTCGTTTAGTCAACACTGATTAGAATTTCAATTAGTGGGTAAAATTTCAACCACTGATCTTCATCACTAACTACTGTCTAGGCGCAAAAGGGCTTCTTTTTACCCGCTCCCCAGCAAACCCTCAGGGGACTGCAAAGCTGATTGCTTTCTGACTGCCATCTTGGGGACTGAAGACTGAAAACTCCTCTGGCTGCAAGCAAGGATTTTGAGAGCGTTAGCCAGAGTTAGACATTGTTTGAGACTTGCATATTCTATCCTTATAAGAAGTTCTTACTCTTCCTCTGATTTCTGGGCTACAGCTGTACAGCTAGGATGCTAGCATGATACGCCATTCAGAAACAGCATAGCTGAAATGGGATGGTTAGGGACTGGTCTGTGCTTGTATTACAGCTGCTGTGTGGCTTGCCAATCAGTGCACATCAGCTTCTGAGGTTGAAGAAGTGTTATTTGCATCCACTATCCACAAGCTAGCATGGTGCTGCTTGGGCATTATATCTTCTTCCTTCTAATTTAGCTCACCTTGCAATAACATAAATGTGGCTTTAAACCTAAAAAATTGGTACACAGAACTTGCAGCAGCAAGTAGCATGGAAGCCCAGACAGGGACACTTGACTTGTTTTCACTTGATGACATTATGTAACAGCGCAGTCAATCCAACATAGTCCAACATAATCCAATATTATTAGAAGGAGGAGGGGGGAAACTGATAAAGATTCTGAATGTAACCTAGGATCTGTAGGACACGAGGTGATTTAGAAATGCAGTCAGTTTGATTTTCAGTTCCATTGGAACCTGCATGATGTTAGCCCCAGGAACAGTTCAGGCAGGTAAAACCTTGGCTTTTTTTCTTTTTAAATAGTCATCTGCAATAAGTAACTTTAGCACCCACAATGACAGAAGAGGCTGACGGTATTAACTGTGCAAGGAATTAATTAGAACAGCCACAATCTGCTATGTTTTTGTCTGGGTAGCAAGACCTTTTGAAATTCTTCTGTTTCTGAGTCTCATTTCTGTCACTCCTCTCACATAACTTCAACTATATGAGCAGTTGAGCTACTTGTCTGAATACAATGGGTTTTAGCTCTTAAGAGCAAGTCCATGACTTGACATCTGTGTTAAGAGCATACCTGTAAAATGGTGATGTCTGCTTCTCAGAAGTGCATCTACCATGGGAGACAAACTTCAGGAACTTTTAGAAGCTCAGATGTTACTCAACTCTTTTTCATGCTTTTGCAGAGTGAGTTTTTCTCTATTCCATGAAAGGTTACCCACCCAGTGGAAGTACATATAATCTATTATTTTTTTATGACAGTGCCTCAATCACACATGTTGGTGCTAGACCTTCACAAAGAAACTAGAGAGCACTTGGATGTGATCCAGGATTTAGATCTCAACGCTGCTTCTCCTGCCCTTTAAACAGGGAAGAGGGCTAAACCAGTAGCCGTATAAGGCACTGGGCTTGCTCCCAATGTACACAGTGAATATTGGAGAAAGGCCTCGAAGAGACCAAAGTCTCTTTGGTCTGGATTCATGTCTTGATCTGAACTCTAGACCCGAAACAGATCATAACCTTTGGGCCCACTCTGTAGTCAGAAGAGTGAGATGCTCTTCCAGCCAGTTGTTCTTCTCACCTGATTTAGGTCCCTCTTGCTAGATGAGATATATTTGAGCACGTGTTTCTTCATGCGAGAGAGAACCCTCACAAGCACCCTCAAATTACATTCTTTAAAAGTAAAACCAAAAAGGCCAGAGAATGTAGTTTGAAAAAAATGAATTGTTTCTATATAAATGATTGGCTGAAGATTTCTGAGATGGTGGCATTATTTTCAGGAGGGATACTAGATTGGGATGTATGAAATAATCAAACCGGAACCTCACGTCAATTGTTCTTTCTTCATATGGTTTCCTTCAGAAACACTTCCCTATTCCACTTCAAGAAAGGATTTTGTTTTCCTCTTCAGCTGACTTCCCTTCCTTATTTCAATAATGTATGTCTCCACTGATATACTCAGTAGTTTTTTTTCTCCATTGAGAATCAGAAGACTGTCTGCCTTTAAACACATACATAAAAGGAGATTTGAGCCACCCACGGAGTTTACCTTTCTTCCTGATGCACTGACATTTAAAAACAACATCTTACAGTAAAGCAGAAAAACTGTGGCAGTCCAGTTACATGCAGTTTTGGTGGAGAAAACACTTGATTATTCAACAATGAGTCATTTCTGCAGTAACCTCATTCTGTCGTGACTGTATCACATCTGCTAACTCTCCAAAGCAAAAATCATAACCTATACTGGTTTAAAACATAAATACAGCCTCATGGTTCATAGGTAACACTCTATTCAACCAAAGAAGCCATGTGCTAAAAGTTTAAAAGGGCAAAGGACTTGTTCTCAAAGAAAAAATACCATAGAGAACAACAAAGATAATTATGAAAAAAGCTTCTCCGTTCTTTAGCTCTTCTCACAGTGGCTGGCTTCTCCATTATTCTTCAAGTCTCTATTCTCTTAGAAAGCCTTATTGTTTTTGGAGTGCAGAGTA